GGTTAAAGGGTCCGGCGGGAGCGGAGTCACCACTCGGCGGCGGAGGCGGCGCCTCTTGCACCAATTTTGTGCGTCCCCCCGCTCGCCCTGCGGCCGGGCTCCTCCCAGGCCGGGGCGCGGGCGCGAAACTGCCCAGATTTGGTTTATCGGAGAAAATCCAGAGAACTGCTCTATAACCAGCAGAGTGGCGCAGCGGAAGCGTGCTGGGCCCATAACCCAGAGGTCGATGGATCGAAACCATCCTCTGCTAGCTTCTTTTTCTCTTTTTATTATTTTCTATTTTTTTCCTCCCTCCTTGTAATAAAGTTTGTTCACAGAGATATTCAGCTCTTCGGTATAATATTTGCTTAACAGGAAACAAAGGGGGAGCGGGGAAAATTATTACGGTCAGAAGAGTTTAGGTCGCTTGGGTAACCGGGTGTCGCTTGAGAATTGCTTGCGCACCCTAATGAAGAAACTCCGAATGAGGAAAGGTCACACGGCGCGTAAACGGAGGAAGACTTGCAGCCTTCATCCAACGACCACCAGGAGGCAGAAAAAGACCCCCAGCAGCAAGTGAAGCATGCGCAGAGGACTTGGAAAAAAAGAAAGGCCACGTATCCCGGAACTGGGACTGGAAATAGAGAACTCACAAACGGAAGAATTGCGCGCCGTGAGCGGGGCAGAGGCTCCTCGGCCGCCCAGCGCGGCGTTTCACCCGTTACTTGCTCACCGAATTAAACAACGTTAAAAGAATAAAGTGGCATCGCGTCACTTATAACACATCTGGTGCCGTGACTCGGAGAGAGAAACGACGCGGTGGATGGGAGGACGCTCTGCGGAGGCGCCGCGCCACGTCCGGCGGCCCCTGCCGGCTCCGGCCCGTCGCCCTCTCCCCCGGCGAACCTAAACGGAGTGACGGGCAGAAGAGAACCCTCAGTCCTCTAAACTCTGCGCGAAGACCCGAACGAAGAGGCAAGACGCGTGAGTACAAAAAGCGGTGGCCCGCGCGGTTTGGGTCGGGATCCCGCGGTGCGGCTGAAGGACGGAGCGAGCGCGGAGCCTTTATTTGAGCGAGGGAGCGAGCCGCGAGCGGGGGGAGCGGCTGCCGCGGGAGATGGAAGGTGTTTCGGGAGGTGGGACAGAGGAAGAGCAAGTGCTCTGAGCCCATGGGAGGGGGCCCCCTGCAAAGCTGCCCCCAGATTCCCCTCGGTAGCCCGTTAGCACTGATGATAATCAACTGGGATGCTTTCCCCTCCAGAAGGGGAAAAGACAAAGTAAAAGTGATTCATTATTGTACGGAAGTTTGGGGAGGTCAAAAGATTCGAGGAGATGATAGTCTATACTGGCCTGTACTCGGATCTTTTGAGGATTGGGTTTGCCAAGCTCCCAACATTTATGTAAATTCTGGAGAACCTTTTAGTCTTGAGGAAAGCGAATATGCTAGTTTATGGATAGGATCAGATACGAGAACTCGGTTATACCCCCGAAAAGAAAAGGGGGGAAGGGAAAAGAAGAAGAAAACCAGGGAAGAAGAAATTCCTCTATCACCTCCCCCGTACATTCCCCCTCCTTCTCCTCCTGCTCCAGTAGCACCTACATGTCCTTCAGCTCCGCATCCCGGAGGAAGGGATCCTCCCCTCACTCACCCGAAGAATCTGGGAGACTAACCAGGAGCAGGTCAAGGCAACGACATAATCCTTATCCATTACGAGAAATGCTGATGGGGCGACCCCAACCAGGGGTGGGGTTTGTATCTATACCCCTGAATTCTGGGGATGTTAGAGAATTTAAAAAGGAAATGGGAAATTTGTTGGAAGACCCACTTGGAGTAGCGGATAGGGTAAACCGATTCCTGGGCCCAGATATTTATACCTGGGAAGAAATACAAGCTATCTTAGACATCCTATTCACCTCAGAAGAAAAGAACATGATTAGGAGAGCAGGGATGAGAATATGGGGTACACAACACGCTCAAGGCCCTGCTGCAGACCCCAAACTGGAGTCATCACGGTGCAGCTCACCGGGTACATGTGCAAGACTTAAGGAATATAATTATACAAGGTATAAGAGAGTCGGTACCCAGAGGCCAGAATATTAATAAGGCCTTTAACGAACAACAGAAAAAGAATGAACCCCCACTGAGTGGTTAGAAAGATTAAGAAAGAAACCTCCAAATGTATTCCGGACTAGACCCGGAATCCCCAGTGGGGCAAGCATTATTAAAAACTCAGTTTGTGGCAAAGTCGTGGGAAGACATCCGGAAGAAATTAGAGAAACTAGAAGATTGGCAAGACAGAGGGTTAGATGAGTTGTTAAGGGAAGCGCAGAATGTATATGTCAGAAGAGAGGACGAAGCACAAAAAAGGCAAGTTCGCATGATGGCAGCCGCCGTGCGGGAGGGACAGAAAGACAGAGTGAGTCACCCACCTCGAGACCCCCGAAATGACCGCACCCAGAGGTCCTCAGTACCCCGGCCGAGGCCCCAGGGGATGGAGACCGGAGAGAACCTGGGGTTTGTTACTATTGCGGAATGAAAGGGCACTTGGGAATGTAGAAAAAGGATTAAAGACGAAAGGATGTTCAAAGAGGATTAGGGGTGTCAGGGGCTTTACTTGCTGGGGACTAAACACCGTCCTGAGCCCTTGATAAAGATTAAAGTGGGACCCCAGCAGGAGGAGATCGAGTTTTTAGTTGATTCAGGGGCAGAGCGATCCACGGTTCAGGCCTTACCTCGAGGATGTGGAGAGACTGTAGAGGTTACAGGGGTGAAGGTGAACCCTTCGGAGTACCCATTACCGAGAACATGCTGTCTGAAACAGAATCAAAGAGAGGGTTGGGCTCTCTGTTGCTAGTACCTGAAGCCGATTATAATTTATTAGGAAGAGACTTAATAATAGAATTAGGAATACATTTAAAGGTTGTGAACAAAGAACTGCAAGTTAAAATATGCACTCTTAGAGTAGAAGATGAAGAGAAAATTAGCCCCGGAGTTTGGTATACACCAGACACCGTAGGGGGGCTGGAAATCCCCCCTTTTTCGGTCACTATAAAGAACCCCGAAATTCCAATTAGAATAAGGCAATACCCGATCCCAAGGGGAGGGAGGTTAGGACTAAAACCCAGAATTGATCGATTACTACAGAAGGGACTCAGAATCTTGTATGTCCCCATTTAATACTCCTATTTTGCCGGTAAAGAAACCGGATGGGTCTTATAGACTAGGACATGATTTAAGAGAAATAAATAAGAGAACTGTTACAAGGTTCCCAGGGGTAGCAAATCCTTACACCCTCTTGAGCCAACTGGGACCAGAGAATCAATGGTACAGTGTGACTGATTTGAAAGATGCTTTTTGGGCTTGTCCATTAGAGGAAAGTAGTCGAGATTATTTCACATTCGAGTGGGAAAATCCGGAAACCCACCGAAAACAACAACTAAGGTGGACAGTCCTTCCTCAAGGATTTACAGAATCCCCTGATTTGTTTGGACAAGCCTTGGACCATATTCTACAAGAATATGAGGTTGGGGAGGGAATTACCCTAATTCAGTATGTGGATGATCTTTTGATTGCTGGAAAAGAGGAAGAACTAGTAAGACAGGAAAGTATCAAGCTATTAAACTTCTTGAGTGTAAAAGGCCGAAAAGTATCTAGGTCAAAACTACAATTTGTTGAGAAAGAAGTCAAGTATTTGGGACATTATTTAAGTGAAGGTACAAAAAAAATAGATCCGGAAAGAGTAAAGGGGATACTCTCCATTCCCCCACCGAAAACTAAACGGCGGGTGCGTCGGTTACTCGGTTTAGTTGGATGCTGTAGACAGTGGATAGAAGGTTATAGCAACAAGGTTAAATTTTTGTATGATAAATTGAGCCAAGATAGTTTGTCCGAGTGGACGCAACAGGATGACCAACAACTAGAGAATCTAAAGGCTAACCTTGTAAACGCACCAGTCTTGAGCTTACCGGATTTGAGGAAACCCTTTCTCCTATTTGTGAACACTGATGGTGGAACAGC